CCCCGCCTTCCGTTAGTGCGCCGGGGCTGCTGTCTCAGAGCCGAGGCTCTTGTTCATGCGTTCCCGATGTGGGCCGAGGCTCACGTAGTTGGGGGCTGACCCCGCGGCCTCTTCACAGAAGCCGGAGCCGCGCTTTCCCTGCTGTCAGGCAACAACAGCTCAGCACAGGGCCCGGCACACAATAGATGTTCCTTGAATAGTCAAAGAAAAGCCTGCTTGGGGTTTCTGTGGCCGGCAGCGGCACCCTGCGTCCTGGGTGTGAAGAAAGTGGGGGATCCCCTGATTTTCCCCGCCTCTGGCTACCCGGGAGCTTCTGTCCTGCTTCAGTTCTCAGCCCCCTCAAGTGGCTAATGAGGGTGGTGAGGAAAACCTCAGAGAACACCCCCCAAGGACTCCTTTCACCTCCCTCCCTCAAGCAGTTTCTCTCATAGGAAGTGGGGCCAAAAAGAATTTAAAAAAAGAAGCTAACTCACTCAACCAAACCGTCTATTGGGGGGAGCGGCCAGTTGGTACCCCTGTAACGGAAACTTAGAACAACTTTGCACCCTTCTTAAAGGAAACAGATAATAAATCCTTCTCTGTTGGTAGATTTCTTGTTTCTCAGGATTCCAAAGCCTTCTGTGGTTTCAGTTATCTGCCCTCCCCACGAAGCCAAGGGCTGGGTTAGCCTTTGGCCACAGCCCTGGCTCAGGGAGGGGTTTATCTTCGGCAACAGCTACTGATGTGGGTGGGAACAAAGAGATGTTTGCTACCTCTCCAGGCAAAGAGAAGACTAGCCCAGTCAGTTCTGTGAAGGCCTGGGACTGCACCTTTTGATTCTTTATAACCCAGTTCAGGCCCGAGACCTAAACTGCCCTCAGATGTTTGTTGTGTGTTAGGTGGGTGAAGTACAAATCACGTTTATTCGTTGTGTGTTGAAGAAGGGGGCTAAATGGAGTTAAGAAGGCCCTTCCCACAGGTTTTTCAGTCGACAGGCACTTGTTCTCAGCTCCAGAGGCCGGTGAGTGAAATGGCAAAGCCTCTGGGCACATTTGTGACTGGGTCCTAAGGCTGTGACTTGAATCTCTAGAAGTCTGTGTTGTGCTCCAAGCAGTACGCTGTTTGCAAAGACAAAACTGAGATATAATGTTGTCCTTGCTGTGTAAATTTACAAGGGAAATAGACATGCATTTTCAGGGTTCCCCCTATCCACATCAAATACCCTCAAAAATCTATTTGTAAAAAGGACAGGGGTCTCTTGTGACAAGTCAGAATGTTTTCTGAAAGCTCAATCGTCATCCTGTAGAGGTAGAACTTTGTCCAGATATTAAGCTCTCCTTTCCTGCAATTTCTCCTTCCTTTCCTTCTCTGCTACCCAACCCCCTCCTTTTCCACTCTGTTTCCTGTTTCATTTTTCTGGCTCCTGCTCCGACAGGAAAGCAAGGAAGCTGAGTCTTGTGCTCTCAAAACCCTGGCTCCCTGGCTTGTCAGATTGGAAGGCGGGTAGGTGGGATGGGAGGGGGTTTGGGGGCACCAAGTCTGTGAGCTGTGAAAGAGGCAGCTCTTTTCAGTCTCCTTACAGGGTCTGCAGCTAAAATGGAGCCTGCATCTACACAGGGAGCCAGCTGAGCTACCAGAACTGTGGAGAGCAAGTGAGACAGAGGTACATCCCAGGCTCCAGAAAGACTCCACACCTCTCAGCCACTTTTTTTTTTTTTGAGTCTGAGTCTCACTTGCCGCCCAGGCTGAAATGCAGTGGCATACTCATGGCCACCGCAGCCTCCACCGACTGGGCTCAGGCAATCCTTCCTCCTCAGCCTTCCGAGTAGCTGGAACTACAGGCATGTGCCACCACGCCCGGCTAATTTTTTGATTTATTGTGTAGATGAGGTCTCACCAAGTTGCCCAAGCTGGTCTTGAACCCGTGGGCGCAGGTAATCTGCTTGCCTCCGCCTCCCAAAATGCTGGGATTAGAGGTATGAGCCACCACACCTGGCCAAGAAACAATTTAATATACAAATCCCTAACCTGAAAATGAAACAATACATCACTATTTCTAGAACCTTAGAATGAAAGAGAATTAAGAATTTAATTTCTAGCCGGGCTCGGTGGCTCAGCCTGTAATCCCGTGCCTTTGGGAGGCTAAGGTGAG